AAGCTATGTTATTTTTCCTACTTAGAGATTGATCAAGATGAAGATAATAATAGTTCTCAACTGCTGAAAAAAGAAAGTTCAGTCAAAGCCTTGAAAAAACAAGATAATGTTTTCACGTCCAATCAAGATAAAAAAGATGAAAGTTAAGACCAAACATGCAAGTGCATGTATCGATCAAAAAAGAAGATCCAGCCAGAGGGTGCCTAAAACTGTGAGTAGAAACGGTTACCAGTTCATCTGAGAGAGAGTGGAGTTATATAAGGACAAAGGATGGATGATGACCATATTTTGGTTTAGATATCAATATAAGAACAACGAATTAAACTTATAGCATAAATCTCTTGAAGGAAAGGAGGCTTCATCAATTCCTCCAACCAATGAATTACATAGAAATTAACACATGGCAAAACATCAGACAGAAAACACAACAAATACAAATTGATAAAAGAACAAGAAAAAAAATCATGATTCCCACTTCGCACCCATTTCAATGGACCTCATAGAATGTGGTTCAATAACCGTTGTTGGGGAGTGGTGTAGCAGGTTGGGATGTAGCAGGTTGAGAGGTGTAGAAGAAAGGTCCCACAGTGTACAATTGGGTCTTATTTTCAAGGAGGCGATAAGAAGAAAGGGGAGCACCACTGGTTCCGTAGTTCACATCGGTGGGAACTTTGCATGTCTCTAATGGAGAACTTTCCAAGTATGCCTTGCATTCAGTAACCTTCAAATTGGATACAAGCTCCGAAAGTGATATGGTGGAATAGAAATAACCTTTACTATCTGTCGCATGGCTCAATACTGATATAGAACCTGTCTCGTACCCACCAAGTTCATCCTCACATCCACATGTAATTCTTGTCACGGCTCCTGCACCCCTCACACATAGCAAATACTATAAAGAACAAATATTTATACATCACCAATGTCCAAACTTAAACAAAATTAGTTTCAAAACATTTATTGACAACCTTTAGGCCATCGGAAATGTATCAAAAGTCAGTGTTACATCAATGAAAAAATGAATTACCTTGAATTGGGGTATAGTTGGAGCCTGATTTACATAAAACAACTCCTTGGACACCAATGGTTGCGGGAACTTCATAATAATCTGGTTTGGTAGGTTGGGGTGTGTCAACTTTGTAATCTGTTTTGGGTTTGGGGATCTCAACCTTTGGTGCTGGACCATATCCATTGTCAGAATAATCTGGTTTGGTGGGTTGGGGTGCGTCAACTTTGTAAACTGTTGTGGGTTTGGGGATCTCAACCTTTGGTGCTGAAGCATATCCATTGTCAGAATAATCTGGTTTGGTGAGTTGGGGTGCGTCAACTTTGTAATCAGTTTTGGGTTTGGGGACCTTAGCCTTTGGTGCTGGACCATATCCATTGTCATAGTAATCTGTTTTGGGTTTGGAGACTCCAAGATCATCTGATTTTGTAGGGTTGTAATCTGTTTTGAGGTCGGGCTTCTGAACATCTGGTGCTGAACCATATCCATAGTAGTCAGTTGCGGAGACAACGACTAGGACTGTTAAAAGAAGCATGGAGGTGGCAAAGGTGGATCGAAGGAAAGCCATTGATAAACTTCTTTGCAATGGTTCTGTGAAAGGGTATAGCTAGAGAAATGCTTCAGAGTAGTGATGAGATACCAATTCACCGAACCCTTTGGTATTTATAGAGCCTAATGATTTTCTAACGAGCTTAAGCATGATACGTTGTGTAAATTAGTGATAAATTTTAATAATATATGAATGATTGAATTCAGCAGGAAAGTTGGTTGCACGTTTAGGACTTATAAAGCACAAATTCATGGTCAATAGCATGTCCTGTGTGGCCTAGAACGTGATTTTCACGTCTATAGATACTGTACAGGGCATCAGATTTCATTTGCAGTGTTTTCGTTTATGAAAAGTTTAGATATCAAACTATAAATCTCCGGGTCCCCAATTTAATGGACAACACGTAAAATCTGCACTTATAGAATATAGAATAGTCAATTTTTTTATCAAATTACAACATAGCACGATTCCGATTATGCATACCACATTTGATTTGGATATGGAACATTTCTTAGGTAATGTTTGATGGACTAGGAATGATCGACTTCTTATTTACCGTGACAATATTTTGACTTCCTATGGTGTATATAGTGGGGTTAGAAATTTTACAACACATTTTGATAATACTCTCAACAAGTCGTATTTTATTGGTTGAAATTTTTTGAAAGAGCATAGTTAAGCAAATTTCTCCAAAAGAAATTTTAGAAGAAAAAAAAGAACAAAACAAAATCAACTTTTTTATCAATTAAAATTAATTTATGTGTAAGTTAAAAAATACAAATTTACAGAAGGTAATTGTTTTTATGAAAATTTGTCCCAACTGAAATTTAACGATTTTATGGGTTTCATGTTCTATTTAATGATTTTTATTTGATTTTGTAGTTTAATTAATAAAAATAATATTTTCATGTTAAGACAGTTCTCATAAATAGATATCTCATTAATTGATAAATATAATATATAAGAAGAATTTTATTTATTTTAAAAATAAAAAATATTTTAAATTATTAGATTAAAAAATAATTATGAAAATAAAGAATAAATTGATATCCTTTATATTTATTTATTTATTTATATATAACAAATTTTACCATTTAAATATATTTGTGAGATTAAATTCAATCTAAATTCAATTTCTAAAGGAAATGTTTCTTATAATTTTGGACAAAAAATTGAAAATAGATATTTTGATGGAAGAAAAGTAAAAGATGAATAATACGAAAAATAAATTTTAAAAATTATATATATAATTTTAAAAAGTTATAATATTATTTATTAATACTAGACATTTTATTAAATTTGTTCTTATTTTTATTAAAATTATTTATTTATTATGTTATCATTATCTATATACTATGAAAGATTTTTTTATTATAATTTTTTGGATATTCTATATCCATTCAACAATATATAAAAAGTATATATTTTTTATACTTCTTATTCAAGTCATCATAAAAACAATAAAAAAATACAATGTTGACAAACTTTTAATGATGGAATAATTACAATCACATAGAAAGCATTTAAAACCATTATTATGAAAGCTCGTTGTTCGTTGAACATGGCAACCATCTAAATAGAATGTGGTAGAATACATAAGAAGACAAAATGGATCACGCCAACAATATTAAGAAGCTTAATCTAAATCCTAATAGTTTCGAACCAATATTTTTTAAATCAGATTAATATTTTTTATAAAAATAATAAAATTTATTGTAATAAGAATTATAAATATAAAAAAATATATTAAAGAGTATAAGACAAATAATTGTTAAAATAAGATAAAAATATAATAAAATAATTATTATTTAAAATTTATGTAATTAATATAAGATAAAAAAATTAAAATATATTATATTTTTTATAAAAAAATTATATTAAAAAAATTTCATCCTAATTTTCTTTTAGCAGACCCAATTCTATCCAAAAACTCTACCAGTTTTACCAATTTTACCCTTTTTTCGATTTTATCTCGATTTATTAAATTCTGAATATTTGGAAGCAATGGACCGGTTTCTAATTTAGTTCCTAGTTTAACCAGCCGGTCCAATCTAGTTTTTTAAAACAGTGTTTCAAGCATCACACCTTCTAAAATGAATATAAGTTCAATTTAATTTCATGAGTAAGTTATTACATTAAATTCTTTTTTAGGTTTATGAGGATGAATGACAAAATGGGTCAACTCTTCCTATTTTGGCTCACTCTGTCTCTAACATGCCAAAAATGAGATAGAATAAATTTGTCCGTCATAGTTAGAACGGGTTACAAATCCTAGTTCACCCTACCAAAAAGCAAGTTGGCGCACTATGGGTGAACCTGCTAATAATTTTTTTATATAAATTAAAATATATATATATATATAATTATATTTAAGTTTTTATTTATTAAATAAATTGATAAAATATTATATTTATGTGTCAAAGATAACTAATTATAATAAATAATTTAAATTTAATTAATTAATTTTTATAATTTAAATTATAATATTATAATATATTTATATATTTCAATAATATAACATAAAAATATAATATCTTTTAATTATAATCATTTTTTATTTTAATATATAAATATTTTTTTAAAACGGATCAATAAATTAACTCGCCCTTAACCTGCTGAATTGGAAGGCTGGACGGACGGGTTGCCAAGTTAAAATCACCTATCCATCTCATAATTTTTTATGTAGACTAGTAGGTTAGCCGACGTCAAGTACTTTTATTCAATATATTAAAAATTATAGAAAAATTGACACTTTAAATATTATTAATTAACCAAAATTATTGAAAAGAAATTACATATTACCAATTACAGTTAAAGTATTTATTATGTTAATTATAATACAAAAGTAACTTTGTCATTTTTTTTCCTATAAATGAATCCCATACTTATCAAGAATCAAAGGTATTAGTAGTTTAGAAAAGGATTCTATTTTCCTTTGCATCATTTCTTTTTGTTGTAATCAAAGGTTGTAATTTTTCTTGTGCATCATTGGTACTCACCTAAGGTAGGGAGAGAGTGAAAATCAATATTTGTATATGTTGTATTTAATGTAAGTTGATTTCTGTATCTACTACTTGTTGTATTATTGTCTTTGACTAATCTAATATCACCTTTACAAATTGTTTCTTTTTTCAAGAAATACCCCAAATTGTTCTTTTTTTTTTTTTACAATATTTTTTACTTTTTCGAGAATTTAAAACATAAAGGGAGAATTATCCATCCAAATTATAAATGAACACGAGTCAATAAATTCTCGGATGTCTTTTACCATTTGTTCTTTTAGAGTACGTAATATGTACGCATAAATCTAATATTTGCTTCGTTGGAGTACATTTATGTATCAATTATAATTTTTTTTTCATTTTTTTTTTCTTTTTCTTACTTTCTACTCCCTCAAATCATCTTTTGAATCCAAATCCAAGTTTAGAGTTTGAACATTCACGTAATTTTTTGTCTTAAAAAATGGCTGAATTATGTAAAGTAATGAAACCATGCGGTACCCAAATGATAATACATCATCTAAGATACTCATACAATATATATTATGTAAAAAAAATTAAAAAAAAAAAAACTTTACAAAACCTTCGATTATAATATATGTTTTTAGTTATATGTAATTTCTCTCTTTTCCTTATTATCTTATTAAACTTTTTATAATTACGACAGTTTTTAAATTTGAATTTATCTTAGACTTTTAACAGAAATTTCAAACATAAAACTGGAACGAGTTGCCCAAGGGTAAAATTATATTAAAAAAATTATACAATATTTTATACGAAGATTGGTAAATATTTTTTTTTAATAATTACATAATTATATTTAATTTCTAACCATATTAAATTTTATAAGTTTCTATTTTGGTATCCTAGATAAAAATTTGGTAATTTTAACGAATATTTTCTTTGGTATATTTTTTATGACGATCTAATAGGTAGTTATGTGTGTTTAGAAATTGTAAAGCCAAACGATTAAATTGACTTTTAAATTCTCTAAAGATAAATGATAATCAATTAACTTCAACATTAAAAACTGGTAATCAATTATGTTTATTCTTAATCGATTATATAGCTATGTTTTTATAATGCACCAAATTAATCAATTAAATTTTTTTAATCAATTATCTAAATTAGTTGAAACTGTTTCAACTCTTTAAATTGAAGAAAACTTTTGCCAATATATACACTTTTTGAAATACAATCAAAATTCGGAAAAGATATTTTATGTCGGCATCAAAATAGTTGCCTAAGTTGTGAAACAATTTGTGATAATCATATTTAAAGGTTAAGTCATTTTGACTGTGTATTGTATAATTCAAATCTAGGTGATTTTGTTTCTTTCTTAACTTTTGTTTGGCTATTGATGGTTGTGAGGAGAGCATAATCAATATTGCTTGAAAATTGTGAGATAGTATTTTCAGTTTTTTTTTTTCTTAGACCTTGATAAAAGGTTTTCTTTTCAAGATCTACATCTTGTTCTTAGGTTTACATTTCATAGATGAATATTTGTAATATGAATCTTTGAAATTTTATAATGAAAATTCAAGCTAAGATTACTTGGATAATTGGATGTAGATTCTACATAATCGAACTAGAATAAATCTGTGTGTTTTTATCTTTTCTTTTTTTATCTTGATGTTTTAAAACAATTGCAACATATTTTATATTCTATTTCAAATAGATTCACAGAAAAAGATTCATCAATTTTTTGTTTTTAAATTGAAAAGATCAAGACAATTTTTGAAAAAGATTTTTTTTTTAAAACCCAATTCACCTTCTCTCTTGGGTTGTGTTAAGTCATTCTAATTTTTTTCAACAATTGACCTCATGATATGAATCACAAAGGATAATTTAGGATCTTTAAGGTTAGAACCTTGTAAGAAATTTAGGAATTAGAAAGAAGGTGGAAGGAAAGAATCACTCTTCCCAAGGAAGACAACACACAAAGGATGTGAAAGTCCTTTGATACAGCCAAATATTATTGAATCACTCAAGAACTTAAGAGAATCACTCTCACTAAGA